AAAAAAAAAAAAAAAAAAAAAAAGTGGCTAACAGTGGTTCCTCACCTTTTCGTGGTGTTGGCTGTTTTATTAAGTGGGAACCGTCCATTTTAAGATATAGTCTATTTCTTGCCCTGCCATTATTATTCTACAAGTTAATTGTGGAGTGAGAATTTCATAATGTTTTCTATGAAATCTTCAAAATATAGTGATTAAAAATTTACAACTACTACAAAATCGGCCCGCGAAGCGAGCCGAATGTCACTCGCCTAGCGAGTGACCGGGGGTCCAGGGGGCGTAGCCCCCGGCTAGGCGTGACGGGCGCGCGAAGCGCGCCCAGAACGGCTAATATTCATTAAAGAGCACATGTGTTTCAACGTGGATTACACGGTTGTTTTCAATTCTCCTTCAACTACGTCCGCAGCAATTGTTGTTACGAATATGTTGTGCGTACTGATCTCAGTTCATTACATACTTGACTCTCTGAAGGCGTTTTATGTGCGAAAGTAGAGCACCCTTTTGGAGATTGAATGAATCGTTCAAATCCTACTTCGTTCGTTTTTCGACAGAATGCGCTACTTGCGCATATAAAACGCCTTCAGAAAGGCGAGTATGTCATTAGCTAAAATTAGCACGCACAACATATTCGTAACAACAATTGCTGCAGACGCAGCTGAAGGCGAATTGCTTTCGCCCATAAAACGCCTTCAGAGAGTCAAGTTTGTAATGAGCTGAAATCAGCACGCACGACATATTCGTAACAACAATTGCTGCAGATGCAGCAGACGTTCCCTGAAATTAAAGTCATCATGATCAAATGAAATATTTGTCAGCTTGTGAGTATCCTACATTTTACATGAAACAATTATTCCTGATTTTGGTTTTGGAAATATGAGTAAACCGAAACAGAGCTTTCCCAATACAGCTAGTTTCTCACCAATCGACAGGATTAGTCATAACTAATACAACATACGTTAGGATTTTATACACACGCACAAAAAGAAAAAACAGACAAAATGCCCTATATAATACTCAACCGGCCCCTGAGTGTAATGTTACTTGGGTTACATTTTGCAATAAGGAACTGCTATCTGGCTCTTCCATAAAATCACCTCTCTGCACAAGGGAGCCAATGGCACATATGTTATTTTGAAAATGAGCCAGAAGTAGTGATTCATTCTTGCAAAATGTAATCCATTTGATCTTGCTCGAGTTTTAGTGAATGAGCCAGATCCATCCACGACGACAGCCTCTCGACGCACAATGAAACAAGTCAATGGGAGTAGTCGGATAAAAAGTGTAGAAATTTTAAAAACCACAACTGCATTAATATAAAACGTTAGTGTCTTAAATGTGGTTTCATTGGTACGCTTGTAAAATTTTCATCGAAAAGCACTCCTTGAAATTTAAAATTTGATGAAATACACATCATACACAGAAAAAAATAGATGGTGCTGACGACAGAACCTGCTGTTCACAAGGATCCAGCAGTTTCTTTGTTACACTTACAGAATTTTTCTGTTGTGAACCCAGAACTTTGGTCGTGGGAACAGAGTACTCTGTTCTCATAACGGAAGCTTCTGTGCCTGTTCCAAAAGAGGTGCAGGAGCCCTGTGAACAGATCTATTTGTTTCAGTGTAATCTGGAGTTTTAGTGAAAAAATTCATGTCCTACGTCTCCTGTAAACTCGATCCACTGTGCGACGCGAGTTTCCCGACCGGTTTACGACATGAGGTAGAGCATCATGCGGCTGATTTTATGCGAGTCCCCAGCGCAGATCAGTCCTCGCGGTGATGATTCGAGCGGCGCTGTGGCTGTTCGTCGGTGTCGCGTCACTGGTGTTAGTGTGCGTGTGTGCGGAGGAAAAGGCCCAGGATGGAAGGGACGTCCCCCCCGGGGTGAACCACGCTGACCACCTCGAGAACGACAGCACCGGCGCCCAGATCCTGAGCGTCGTCATCAGAGGCGTCGCAGACCGGAAAAATTTCGAGGAGATTCGCAAAGAGATATGTGAGTAGAATCATCGCGGGTCGAATGGCTTGGACTTCATGCAGAATATTCTCATCAGAGCATCAGAGAAATTAGGGAAAGTTCAAGAAATTGCGTGGAATAGTTGGATTGCATTTTGCAAAAAGGAACCAGGAGAATTGCAATGATGCTGAAATTGTGCAACTTCCATCCTTTGCAATGCAATTACTTAAATCATGAAAAAATATGAAACTTACATGATAATTTTTGTCTTAAATTTGTAGTTCCTAGTAAGTAAAATAGAAACCGTAAATGGATAATCGCGTTTTTCTTCCACGACAAAAGAACTCGCACAATCTTAGCGACATTGCAATACTCCTGGCTCCTTTTTGCAAAATTCAATCCAGTTTTCCAAAGAAAAAAAAAGTATAGCAAAAAGTCTTGAATGTCCTAAATGGAAATATGTGGCTCGGCAATTTAGCCATCGATATAAAAAAAAAATAAAATCTCAAGTGTTTCGGTAAATCCTATAGACCGAATTCATGGTCGTTCCTAAAATAGCTTCTCTCCTTTTTGCGATTGTTGGCAATTTTTGCAGTCGGCGCAGTGTAACTTCTTATAAGGATCTATTTCCGCAGTTATTCAGTTTAATATTACGCAAGGCTTTTGAAAGTTGTCCTTTTTATGATGTTGCGTGAGAGGCTTCCTTAATATTAATAATTTTAAAATATATTGGGCCTCCTTGAGGCAAAGAGTTGTTCTACAGGACGAATAAATAAATATGGCCTTTCATTACGAGAAACCTTCATTGGTGGTGGAAATGATGGCTTTTAAACAAAAAGGAATCGGACAAATAAAAATTAAAAAAAAAAAAAAAAAAAAAAAAAAAAAAAAAAAACTCGAACTCACGACGAAAAATTTAAAACGCCGACGCATGCCGTGACAGCCTACACAATCTTTTCTTGGAAGGCTGGATTCCAGGTCGGAAGAAACCTTTGAAGTCTTGAGGCCTTTGAAAAAGGGGCGTGAGAAGTTCCGACACGCAACGACGTTTTAAATTTTGCGTTTGAGTTTTTTTTTCTGATTTATTTTTTTCGCTTTTTTCTCGTTCATCATTCCACTGCCGGCTCTACTTTTTATTTTGGTTCTTCCATTTAGTTTTATCTTCATTTTCATTTGAATGCATAATTTGATTGATAAAATGTGCAGACCTGGACGTTCTGACCACCTCAAAATGGGCAGTAGACATCCTAGTGCAAAAGTCGTCTTTGGACTACACGAAGCACTTACTAAAATCGGCCGATTTGGAGTTCAAGGTTTTAATCGAGGACATTCAAAAGCAAATGGAAGCCGAAAACCCCCCTGAGTCCAAGGAGTCTTTGTCAAGATCTTCATTACGAGGTGAGACGCAACGATTTCAGTCATTTTAATTTCAATTTAGCTTTTCATCTTAACTCTAATTTAGGCGATTTGTCACGCGTGGTCTAACTGGCATGTGATTTATCGCATTAATAAATGAAAAGTCTTGGCAGATTTTGAATGCATGAGATTAATCACATCGATTGATTGAAATATCTCGGAAGATTTTGCATTTTTAGCAGAAAAAAATAAATAAATAACCCTTGCGAATGAGCTTGAGGAGTCATTCTAAACAAACAAAACAAAAACAAAAAAATCATAGAAATGACCACAGGATACTTTTTGGATAAAAAAAAAACTCGAATTAGATACAGGAATCGATAACTGTGTCGAATGCGAGGTTTTTTCTGGAAAGGTTCTTGTTTAGTTCCTGAATTTTCCAATTTTCTTGTCTGGAATGATTCTTTACACTCATCTACAGGGGCTGTCGTTCTTTTTGGCTACAAATTCAAAATCTGCCGCGATTTTTTACTAAAGTGATGCGATATATCGCACGCCAGTTCGCCACGCCAAAAACCGCAGCGAATCACCTTAACTTGATGCAGACGGGTTTTGTCTTCTGCTCTGCTTAGGTTTGTTTATCGAAAGCATGATTTGATTTCAATTTAAAATCTTTCGAGGAATTACCTGGACCTGGAGCTTGTGTGATGCTTGTATGATGAAATAAGTTTTCTCAGTTCACTGTTTTCAACATCCAAAGTTAAAACAATTCGCGATTAAAATCAGACCTGAGAGGGCGTGGTATTTAATTTTCTGCAAAATACCGTCGCACAGTGGACCAAGTCAATGGGAGAGGTCGGACAAAACTTTTAACGCTCATAACTCCGTTTATACAAACCTTTGAGGTTCTGAAAATGGTTTCATTGGTTTTCTCGTAAAATTTTCTGAAATTGGTCGTATTTTTGTTAAACAGAACTACGCGCCGAATTGAGTTCCTTTTGGGGATTTTAGAATTCCCTTCTGTCAAACGGAACTGAGCGCCATGGAAAAGCATTGCTAGTATAGGACGGACTAGCATCGCGTTCCGCAACACCCGCCAATCCAAGCCCCCCTCTCCCTTCTTCCCCTATGCTACCGTGCTAAGGAAGAAGGCCGTATGAACATTCGAGAGTTGCCAAATTTCCCCGGATAAAACATGTATTTCTGACGAGATTAATGCGTATTTTTTCATGAAATTTTCAGATATTTTAGATTAAATTGCGAACGAAATTGTTTGAAAAACTGGAAGAAAAATATTTACTATTTCCCCAAGAAATTTGTATTTTATCAGATGAAATTTGGCAACACCTTAAGGTTTATACGGCGTTCTTCCTCAGCACGGCCGTATGACGCTCAGTTCCGTCTGATAGAAATACGTCCAGTTAGCACCCCCTGAAATTGAAAATGTGACAAAATCAACATTAAAAGTTGGATTGTATTTTGCAAAAAGGAACCACTAGCATTGCAATGTTGCTGAGGTTGTGCAACTTCTTTTGTCTTGGAGGAAAACCCCGACTATCTATTCATAGTTCCTCTTTCACTCGCTAAAAACTGTGCATTTAAGACAAAAATTACCATCTAAATTTCATAGTTTTTCACGATTTCCGCAATTTTATTGCAAAAGATGAAGTTACACAATCTTAGCATCATTGCAATGCTAGTGGTTCCTTTTTGCAAAATGCAATCCATTTGCAGTTTTAGTAAAGAATTTCATGTGCGACCTGTCTCATTGACTCGATCCACTGTGCGTCGTCACACACACCGCGGCCCGTCGCGGAGCGGGCCTCCATACCGCGAAAGGCGGAGGTGTTCTAATTTTCGACACAATGATCGAGTGCCGAAACTTTTTAATTGCATTCACTTTGAAGCTGCTTCATCAAAGGGGTCCGCGTCGTCGCGCTCGACTCGAGCTCCCTCTTCAGCCCGGGAATCAAAGTCCCGCGACTTAATTTCCCCGTAAAGTTCAAACTCACTTCAATCGCTTGTTTTCAAAGGGGGACAGGTCCATTCCTCGATGAGCCTTACTAATCGTGGCCTTTATGCAAGCCAAGGCTCATGCAAAAAGGGACTTGTTCCCTTTCGAAAACAACCGATTCACTCAACTCACTCGGCCAGGCTCATGTCGAGCCTAGTTCAAAGGTCGGGAAGCTCCCGGACAAACGAGAGAAATTGATTAGGGTCATAAACGAGGAGTGTTAACCAGGTGTAATGGTGATCCGGCCTTAATCAAATTTTGAGACTTTCGAGGAGCATTGCGATTAGATTATGTCTACCGGTTAAGAGCATTCACGGTCTGGGAGTGACTTAAATCACGAGGATTGCGTCTCCAAGTTTCCTTTGATCGGGATTTTGATTGAATCCGACCCTCCTCTCCTCAGCTCCAACGAGGCTGTGATTATCACTGTTAACTTGCGGAGAGTCAACATATCGACGGTGTAAGTCGGCAATCACATAACTCGTTTGCTGTGTCTGAAAATCTCCGCCTCTTCGTTATTTTTTTATAGGAGAACGAATTGACATCATTCCTTGAAGTTTTTGCAGAATTATCTTTGCACAGAGAAGGAAAATCGCGGCGGTTTTAAAGAACTGTCGTTGAGTAGTTTTCCGTTTAAAAAATAAAGTATGACAGGAAGTCTGCGACGTCGCAAACCGAGTTATGTGATTGCCGACTTACACCGTTGATTTATATGATTTTTTCCCCCATCAATTTAACTGAGAATAATTCATGCATTTGTCGATACAAACATTTCAAAACCAAGAGTTAAAAAACGCCGACTCCGCGAGTTTAAATATTAGAGCCTAACAGAGCGAAGCGGCGCGGCGGCGTGCTGCCGGCGCTACACGCGTTTTGGCGCCTACAAACCTAAATGGATACTTCACGCATTGCGCAAAGCTTGAAGTATCCCCTTAGGTTTGTAGGCGCCAAAGCGCGTTCCTCGCTGGCATCACGCCGCGCCGTGCGACGGCGCTTCAAGCAACTATTTCACAACAGAAGTGTTGCACAGTTTCATATGAAATTGAAGGCGCTCCAACGCCCTAAGAGCATTAGAATGTTGCCGAATTTCCTCTCAGAAAACAAGACTGTAAACAATACTATGTACTGTTCTCTAAGAAACTCCTGTCCCCGATTCAGGACATGGACTGACTTTTGATCGCTATCACTCCGTGGACACAATGTACCAATACATGGAATACCTGAATCGGACTTACAGCGATTTCGTTAAACTGGAGGACATCGGAACCTCTGCGGAGGGGAGAACGCTGAGGGTACTGTACATCTCGAGTGGGCAACCAAATAGGAAAGCCATCTGGATCGATGGAGGTAACACTTGCATCTTGAAGACTTAGTGTCTTTGTCCTTGTACATTTTATACGGGATATGAGTGACCACTTGAGGTGATATGTTAGACACTCCTGAACCCTTAACTTTTTATCCTTTCAAAAGAGCTTTTCGCACGAGAATCCAAATATGTATTGATGGCTAAAGTGCAATATTACGTATCTCCTTTGCCGTGTTTCAAAATCTTCGCTCTTATTTTATTATCTCAAAGATAAATTAGCCAAATTTACCGCTTGAAATTTCTACAAAATATGCCACTAAAATAGAGGAAAAAATCAAGGAAGCTATCAGGTGATTACGTTGACTATTTTTCTAAAGAAAGAATAGAGCATGACAGGAAGTCTGTAACACCGCAAACGGAGATACGTGGTTTCCCACTTCAGCCATCGATATGTTGAGGGTCAATACTTAAATCAGGCGCTCCGTCAAAGATTATGAATTACAATCTGAGAGAGAATAATTTGAAATCTGTCAGGCACTTCAAAAAATATTTGATAAATTGACATTCAAGATTAATGAGGCACCCCAGAAAATTTTGAATGAAAGGTATTTCAAGGAAAAAACCAAAATTTCGACCTCGTTTCACTATCATTATATTGAACACTTGAACAGTAATGGTTCACAAAATGGATTCACGGTTCGTCCTAAGCTGCCAAGAGTAAAAGAGGAAAACATACATTCACGAATTCGTATGCAAAATGACTAATTTTTTCTGAAATATTAGCATATATAGGGATCAGAAAGTTTGTAACACAGCAATTGAGCACATGTTTCTTAATCTTAGAATAATTCATAGTTTAAACATTTAGTCAGAATTTGTATTCAATATTCTCTATTACGAGGAATATTAAAACTAAATATCCTGGTGACACACAGGAATAAACAACCATAAAATAACGAGCGTTAAACAAACGGCGTCCTGGAAATCAACTTCTTCTCTGGGGAACAGAAATCATGCCGAAATAAAATCGAAAGCAGTCCATTTGACCTAATGAACCCGTTTCGGCCGTTTTATTGCGGTTAAAACGAGTGGAATTCCATATACTTTATCACCGTTCGCAACAGAACTACAAAATCTGGCTCTCTTTGAGTGTTCCAGTGATGCAGTCAGAATATTCATTAGTAGAGAGGATATTTTAAAATACATGTATTTCGGACATGGGTGCCTTATTGCGCTAAGAATCAGCACTTTTCATAGACTTTAATTTGCGTGAAGTTTATAAGATAATCTGACAACCATTATTATGGATCTGAACGCAAACAAGACGAGTCTTCTTGAGTCTAGATCCAGTAGTCAAGATATTCTGCTTTAATTTCTTGCTGCGACCAGACTGGGAATCGTGAGTTGTAATTACGGTCAATGTGCGTATAAACAGGTCTTGCGATTTGTATTTTTTTTCCCCTTGAGAGAAATGAATGAGGATATGCCTGGTTCCCTTCATTTGAAAGCTCATAGTTACGCCAAAACTCTCGATTTTTTAGAAATTTCTCCAATTTTCGCTATTTTTTCCTAAACTTGGCAAGCATGTAAAAAAATTGAGTATATATTTCTAGTGACCCTACTTTGGGAAATTAATATAGAATACAATCCTGTGCGCACATACAATTTGTTAGGAGGCACTGGAAAAAAACACATTGGATCCAGAGTCCGGACTCTTGAAAACATTGACAAGAAAAAATACTCTTGATTCAATCAGATTTTTGCTTAAATCAAAAGGAAATCCGCTCAAATTAAGAGGCTTGGTTCTTGATTTAAGCAAAAATCCGATTGAATCAAGAGTATTTTTTCTTGTCGATGTTTTTAAGAGTCTGGACTCTAGGTCCAATGTGTTTTCTTTTCTAGTGGGTGTTTTCATTCCTTCGAAGAGCCGAAACACGATTCTGTGATCAGCGCTACTGACCCATGAGCCCCCTGACCTTTCAATTACCCCTTAATATTTACGCGGATGACTAATCTACGGCTACCACCCCTCTTTTTTTGGCCAGGGATCCACGCTCGCGAGTGGGTGGCCTCGGCGGCGGTGCTGTGGGTTCTGTCGGAGCTGACGGAGAAGCGGGAACGGTTGCCGGAGGAGATGCGGGAGCTGGACTTCGTGGTGATGCCGATGGTGAACCCGGACGGGTACGAGTACACGCGGGCGAGGCGCTCGACGCGGCTGTGGCGGAAGAACCGGGCGCCGGTGAGCTCGGCCTGCGCCGGCGTCGACGTCAACCGCAACTTCGAGCACGGCTGGGGCGGGCACGGCACCAGCGGCGAGGCCTGCAGGGACACCTACCGCGGACCCCGCCCCGCCTCCGAGAGGGAGACCCAGGCCATCGTCAGCTACGCCGCCAAGAACATCCCCAAAATCCAGGTACGCCTCACAGACCCACACCCACAGTCGAAGAGAAATCCTCCATTGGTATCGTGGCAGAGACGATGCTCAGTGGAAATATCCAGTAGAAAATGTCCAATAAGAATAATGCCCTACTTAAAATGTCCAATCACAAGAATGTCCAAAAAAATGTCCATGGTTAAAAACTTCCAAAAGAAAATAATGTCCTTACTGAAAACTGCCCCACAAAAAATATGTTCCAAGAGAAGACGCGTCCATTTCGTTGCAAGAAAATGTGAATTTTGGACCTCCAAGTACCCAGTTTTCAAATTTATTGGGTTAGTTTTCACACAATTCTTTCATATTATTTGGTATTTTTCTCACTTTTTTGGACGATTTTTTGGAAATTTTTTAAATAAGACAAATAAGATATTGACATTTTTTTTATTAGGCATTACAGTTCATGGACATTTAGTGTTGGACAAACAATGTTTGGGTATTGTGGACATTTTTTATAATTAGACATTTTGTATTGGACATTTAAACTTGCCACCGCAGAGACAGAGAAGACGACGGTGTAAGTCGGCAATCACACAACTCGTTTGCGGTGTCTGAAAATCTCCTCCTCTATGTTATTTTTTTAAACGAGAACAAATCGACATCATTCCTCGAAGTCTTTGCAGAATTTTCTTCGCACAGAGAAAAAAAAATCACGGCAGTTTTAAAGAATTGCCGTTGAGTAGTTTTCCGTTTAAAAAATAAAGTATGATAGGCAGTCCGCGACGTCGCCAACCGACTTATGTGATTGCCGACTTACACCGTCGGGAAACCCTTTTAGCGGCAGGTGGAAACTTTTATATGATTTATATACTTCTTATGAATGATGGGCTTGTTTTGAAATGTTTAATTCCTGCGTTTTTGAAAACTAGAGAGTGCAGAGAGCTGACAGAAATTTCCCCCGATTTATTTTAACAATATTAACCCACGAACAGCGAGCTCAAAGTTGCGTTTTTTGAGCGCCCATCGAATCCGATCCGGCGCGATGTCCGACAGCCGTGGTGCGAGCTACAGGATGCAGCAAAGGTAGAATTCGCCGAGTGTGGCTGTGACTATTCTCCATCAGGCGCTCAGGGCGGCCATTTTTTTTGACCCGCCAACGCGCGTTGAATGGGAGCTCAAAATTCGCAACTTTTAGCTCGTTTTTCGTGGGTTAGTATTAATAAAAAAATTGGGAGAAATTCCTGCACTCTTTAGTTTTCAAAAATACAGGCATTAAACATTGCTAAAGAAACTCATTAAATGGGAATAACATTTACTTCACCTACTAGGTGCTTCGGATGACGCTATGAACCATACGAGTTTACCAAACTTCGGTTTGTTTGTCACACGAAATACTCGACACGACGTATAACATCCACCTAATAAGTAAGTAGAGTTCCGAAAGTAAAAGCTTCTGCTATTTCTAAGATAGGAATGGTGAACGTTTCTTTGTCTCTGGAATCGACCGGTAGACTAAGTTCAAATTCAAAGGTTGCGCAATAAATTTGTTACCAGCAAATTGGAAAATAACTGCTGAAGTATTACACAAAGGGAGATACTCTGTCCTTTATTAAAATCGTCTTGAAATAGATAAATCTTTTTTACATGGGTACCTAGGAGCGTCCAATTACCGTCGAAATCAGGGGTGCACGATAACGACTGTTATGCAACGACTGAGATACGAAAAAACATCATGCAAAGTCTGTTGTTATGAACTTCATTAAAATAGGGTGAAGTTTTGCATTCCGCATCTTGTTCATCCTACTTTGGCTCGATGAGAAGTTGAATTCCAGGGTGATGGAGGTGGGTGAAAAAGCAACTTTTCAACGATTTCTCGAGAACTTTCGCGCATAATGCTCCAGTTACTTCCTTAACTTGTGATCTGCAGGGGCTTTCACTTAAGCTTTACCGAATCGCGATGCTGCGAGTATACCACTTACAATTCAAGAGAACAGTATGTGTAAAAATACGAGTTTCAACTCTTCAAGACGAATAGGAGAATCATTCACACTGCATGGCTTTTTACAGTCGGGCCTCTTCTTAATCCTCCTCTATTTATTTAGATATCAACGAGGAAAGGAGCCCGAAGGTAGAATTTGTATTAGGGTGATTTTTTGAGGTGAGTATTCTGAGACTCTTACAAATAACTCTACCTAGAGTCGAAATAAGAAAAGTTGCGAGCGCTTCAATTCTGTGCCAATAGAGGGCATGAAGCGACAATATTATGCGGCGATTTTTTATCCCTTAACCATGACCGATTCGACTTTTTAGACCTTTTTATCGGAACCACGCTCCTCGACCTCGACCCTTAGATGCCCAAGACTTTTTTTATGCGCCAAGTCTGAAGTTGGGTCAAATTAGCCTGCGATTAAATACATAGATTTTGTTAGTTTTCGAAGTATTATCTATGTCATTCCATACGTGCTTGGTGGATGTCCGTGTTGCATCTACAAAATTGAAGGCACTATGTCGCGAGGCGTGAACTGGCAATGCTTCACTGAAAAAGAAAGTGAAGTTGATTTAACATTCTGGATGTAAAAAAAGTGTGCGAGAACTTACAAAATGCTGAATTAACTGTAAAGAGCAGTTACTTCAGCAATGTCAAGATGTAAAACTAGCTGCCGTAGCGAGTGATTTAGCATTTTGTGAGTTCTCGCACACTTTTTTACATCTGGAATGTTAAATCAACTTCGCTGTTCTTCGGTGTTCCAATGCTCGTTATGCTGCCAATGAGACGTCACCCGGACTCGGGAGAAAAGTTAAAAAACGAAGCCGCATAACGTCTTACCTATCTTCGGGAATGTTACTTAAGTATCACCACAAATAAGACAAACGGAACATACACAATATGAAGATTGAATAAAGAAAAAGTCAAGCGTTGATAACGGCGCAGAGCTACGACTATTCATACTTGATGGGTGTCCGTGTTGCGTCTGCCAAATTGAAGGAGCGAGGGAGCAAGGTGTGAACTCGCAATGTTTTGCTCCCTACTGATGTGCCGCTAAGATTCAGTTTTTTTTCACGGCTTGCTTTGATATTTCAAACGTTTTACAAAAAAAGCAATGATGTACCACCTGGAGCCTTCGCCTTTCAGAGAGCTGATCATAAGATTTCAGGAGGCGGGATCTGTGGCAAAAATGTAGGAAGTGAAACCAATACGGCATTCCGAGGGAAAATGCTAATTTTCTTCTCTCTTTGAATAAATATAATACTTTGAGAAATTTTCTTAGTCGCGATGCGAGACTCGTGTTTTTGAAGGTTCAGTAACAATTAACTGTATAATATAAAGTTGAACTTCTTTTTATCGGGCTGCATTTTGTTTGATGATATTACCTTTCTCCCGGGATAACAAGTGATCGAGAGAAAGGTAATATCATCAAAAAATTAACTGTATCTCATCTTGCATCATTGCAAACTGCCTTCCAATGGTTTATTTTAATACCTACTGGTGGATTAAACATTTTTGCTCAAATATTTTAGTTTATGTTATTATAACTTCATTACCCTCACTTTTCCTCGAATAACCAGAAAATTGATTCAATTTTCGTAAAATGGCGGTTCTTCCTAGAAAAATAGAGAGATAAGAGAAACGAATTACGGTGGTTTTTAAGAACTGACGTTGATTAGGTCTCTACTTAATGAAGGAGGATGGAAGCTCTGTAACGTTCTGATTAAGGCACGTGTTCTCCTTTTCAGACTTTAGGCATCGAAACGACGATATTAATTCTGAGAATCAATCTACTTGGAATTGAGCTAAATTACCTCTTGGAATTAATCAAGTGATTCCCACGTTTATTATCAATTTATGCTATGATCCTCCTAGCATCATGAATTTCCTTAACTATTTCACGTCGAGAGATCACAAAACCTTGTTTTTCCCTCGATAATCACATCTTGCCGTTTAGAGTGCAAAACTCCATTGCGCTATTTTCATTCGCGCAAAGCCTCAAAACTTCGATTTCAGTATCCACCCCGCAAACAGGTATGGTATTCTCACTCAATATCTCCTAATACGCATATACTTACATTACTCAAGGTGGATATTCAGCTTTTGTGTAATGCATTCTGGGTATGAATGATATTTTTCAAATTTCAACCACCAGATTGGTTAATTTTGGAAATCAAAATTCCAGTTTGTAGATCAATCATCAAGGTATGTTTGTGCCAAAAATCTTCTTTCAAAATCTTAAAAATAAAGTCAAAATCACTGTTTACATTTTGCAACCGATGTCAATGTATTGAGATCTATGGTTAATTACAAACGGTGTTTTTAGACTTTACTTTAAAATTTTGAAGGGTCCCTTTCAGCAAGTGCGTTTCTTAATAAGTGATCGACAATCTGAAATTTTGATTTACCCAAAATAATCCCTCGAATGGTTAAAATTTGAAATACATCGATCGTGCTCAGTGCGCATTCCAAAAAGCTCAGGATCCATTTTAATGAAATCTGAGGTCCGATTGTTGAATAATTATCAAATGATTCTGATCGATAAATCCCTATCTTAGCGATGATTTTTAGCGATCAAGGTCATTCTATATACATTCAACAATCAAGCCGCAGATATCGACGGGGGAATCTCCAAACCACGCATATCCGGTGTTTCAAAATCTCGTTTGAATTCTCTTTTTTAATAAGACTTACAGACAAAAAAAATATTAGGACGTAAAATAATGTTCTTCGGACATTTTTTAAAATTACGGCTCGATGGGAGACTCCAAAATTCTGCAAATTCTCGGTCAATACAGGGCCACTCAGATACGATACACAGGAGCGCCTTCAAACCACTGCGTAATCTTAATGCGAAATTATGATACGACTATTCGTGCGTCACGACAGTCATTTTGCATACCCGACTAATTGAAGGCAAATCATTGGCCCAGATCGTCCCAGGGTACGAATGTCAGCATTGCAAGCCGTGTTTTTTTAGGGAAAAAAACCTCCCGAGGTGCTCCTCCTGAGATGGAGATACCAATGTCTGCCCTTAAGTCCTAGATACGTGGAAAAAGTTCCATGGTATTAGGTGACTTCCCTATTTTTTTCGATTATAGTCTCTTGCTGGTAGATAGACGACATCTTCAACAACACGTTTATGCAGGTAACTCAAAACTGCCAAGAATCGAGATACGCACTTTCACCATCGATACGTGCTTTGGGGATTCTGTCGACGATATGCTGTCTACCGCGTTTGCTGATCTTTAAAAACTTTCCACTGATCTTTTAAAGTAATAAATGCTGTAACTTTTGGTGTCTGTGTTTTTCAGGGTTTTTTGACATTTCACTGCTACGGGCAGTATATACTGTATCCATGGGGCTACGATAAGATACTGCCCGAGGATCACGCGGATTTACAGAGAGTCGGTGAGATTGCGGCTCAGAGGATAAAAGAAGTTGGAGATGTGAACTACACTGTCGGCAGCAGCGCCAACCTCCTATACCCTGCTGCAGGTAAGCATAGTTTAATCGCTCGTTAAACCCACGCTTGTCAGTTAACTGAAGAGTGCTAGAGTGTAGGCATTCTTATAGATTTCAGGGCTCAAGGGGGAAAAAAAGGACGTTTTAAGTTCCATCTTCGATCAGCTCTGTTTCCAAACTTGAGGGAAGTTCTGGAGGATGAAAGGAAATTTCCTAGTTTCCCTGAACAAATGAATCCTAAGCTGGAATCCAAAGCATTCTAGAGACGAGGTCCTTTCAAGGTTGCATCGGATCAACAAAAACATGGAAAAAGGGTTGAAAAGGATGGAGAAGAGAGAGGGGGGAGAAGGGGGAAGGGGGAAGGAGAGAAAGTGGGGGGAGGAAAAAGCCAATGAATTAAAATTCCTTGCAGTTAGTATAATTGCTTGACTGCGTTCATGACGTCAAGTGGTCGAGTTTCGCCGCGAAACTTGATTGCTTCAGCTTCAGTGTGGAGTGAAGCCAAGCTTCCCGTGTTCTGTGGCTGCATTTTTGTCGTTTCAGACTATGTTTGTCCTCAAATTCAATGCTCATAGGTAAATGAGGAGCAAGCAAAGAAAAAAGAGGGAAGATAGGAATGGGGCGAGACAGGGAGGAAGGAGGAAAGGAAAACAAAACTGATCAATTGATCAATTTGAATGTACTTTGCAATAATGAATCGCTAGTTTCTAGTTCATTATAGAAACATGCACGAGCCAATATAGTCGTTCTTTTTTTGTGTAATTAATTCCAACTGATTATATTGATCGCCTAATTCGAGCCGCAGATATCGGTCTAAAAGTACATCCTAAAAAAACAGACATTAGATTTTAAAAAAAGGAAGGAATCGGGTGTCAATAAATAGCCGAAGATACAGACGTATTCGGGACTCATTTTTCAACCCCTCTCCCAAATCTGAGGGACATCATATTGGCAGCACAGACCGGAGCATTGCTAGATCACTCCTCAAGTCATGGCGCCTTCATCTATGCAGATGCAACACGGACATCTATCAAGTACGAATAGTTGTATCTCTACGCCGTCATTTCCCTAGCTCTGTTTCCATGTCACGTCGGTTCCGTTAGTCTCATCCGTAGAGGTGCTTCAAGGGAAGGGCTATAAGGACTAGGGGTAAAAAAAATGTGTAAGAAACAACTATGAATACTATGAATATTTGTTTCTTATGAATTCTTATCTCTTTCTCTATGAATATTTACCTATTTTTTTCAGGGGGATCCGACGATTGGGCAAAATCGAAGGGGGTCAAATACGCATACACGGTGGAACTTCGAGGCCCTGGATATCCTGGAGGATTGAACAGCTTCTTTCTACCCCCGGAACAGATCATCCCCAGCGGAAAAGACGCATTCGAAATCGTCAGGACTGTGGCTGAAGCAATAGTCCTGCAACCTTCATGAAAACTTACAAGGACAAGAGAATAGAGTAAATTTACATATCATAACACGATTTTTTTTTAATATCAGTTTATTTTATTTTCATTTAAAAAAATAAATAAATAAAAACAACGTTTTATGGAGCTTTAATAACGCGAGTGACGCATTTTTCGCATTTTTGAAGAGCATTGGAGTTGAGTATATTGAAGGGCTGTGCTGACGTAAATATCGATGGTTAAAGTAAAAAAAAATGCTTATCTTATTTTGTGACGCTGTGAGTCTATACTCATATAAATTTTTTTTGAAGAAATACGGAGGAATAGTTTCTCTGCAAATGTTGCGTAAATTTTCTTCACCCTCATTTCTACGGGGTCAAGAACAACCCCTGTTCTAGGAGGTTTTCTATAACTTACATTAATTTTTAAATGCCCCCTGAACTTCGCTGAAAACTTAACTAATCACAGATTCTATAGTACCCATGCCTTGTAAATTTATGTAATTTCTAGCCGTCTCAGATAGTATTTCACAGAGTTAATATATTTTTCTTACTGTTCAATTCCATTCTTGACCTGTACCACAGCCAATCGGCTTTCACGTTCAAAATGTGCAAAATATGAATAAATACTATATTATATCATACTCTATAATATAACATCATAAAAGGAACGGGCAACGTACAACGCCTGATTCGCGGAGCGCTTTACCTCTGAAAAGTTACACAAAATTGCAAGGGAACATTTTTAAAATTTTCCCTCGAAGGAAATAAAACATAATCCGAGATATTTAAATGCTGCTATTGTGATACACATTTTTTTTCATTTAGTCAACGATATTAAGTTTGACAATCATTTTAATTGAAAGCAAAATACACTTTGTTATCATATCAATATTAGCTGTTAATTTATTTTACATAACTACATTTTATATAAATGGCAATGACGCTCATCCGTTTTCCTCAGAAAAATAAAACAATAGCAGATATTTTGAAACTTCTCATTCGAGGTGCGTGTTTTTCAATTTTTACCATCGATGTTCCACAATTTTTCATATAGGTGCGGGAAGCAGTACCTGACCATACTCTCACAGTTCGGTGAGATAATAGCCCTCCTTGGTTAAGTATAGAGTCAGTGCTGGTAAAAAGACATTTTGAGAGCGTATTACGAGGCCGTGATACGCCACAAAAAATGAGAAATGATGCATCTTGTCTTTAGTGGGTAGTTTCACGATAGCTTGAATAGTTTTGTCGCCGTAACAGACAACATATTTTTCGGACATATTTTTAGTATGTAATGATAATCACTCGAATTTTTTTTTTTGATTTATCTACTCAGGGTTACGTGTTATGACGCTTTTCAATGATTTATCGCTCTACTTTTCAATTTTAATATATAAATAGCCGAAAATGTGTTACGCTGACCTTTTACCGCGGAACAGATAGCACATTTTCGGAATTCACATAATATTAATTGAGAAGTAGAGCAATAAATCATTAAAAAGCATTACAATACGTAGCATTACAATACATATTTGAATATTAGTGCGAAAAAATTCAAGTGATTATCATTACTACTAAAAATACGACTAAAAATGCGTTGTCTATTACGGCGACAAAACGATTCCAGTTATCGTGAAATGACCCTAATGTGACGAGGGTTAGGTCATATCTTTTCAACAGCTTGTCGACTAGAACCGCGCTCCCTCGGACCAAAAAACTTGAACATTTTATCCTGTAATGCTTGAGCGGTTGCGAATAAAAGTGAAAACTTTGAATATGAAGAATCCCCACTTCCCGTCGTTCTCTAGCTATTAAAAGTTTTTCAAGCACTGTCGTCGCAGACACTCTGATTTCACTTTCATTATGCGTTGGAGATTCGACGACGAGATCTTACAAATTAGATCGAGATGAATTCGAAGAAAGCACTATTTCTCTCTGAATTTCCCGCAATATTCAGTCAAGCTGCTATTTTTAGCTACTACTTTCTTCGGTGTTGCCCCAACTGTTCTAGACCTTTCCAGCGCACAACTGCTGTGCGACGGAGAACGCCGTATGAACAATCGAGAGTTGCCACATTTCCTTCGATAAAATGTTTATTTTTAGGAAAGTTATGAATAATTTCCCTTGATATTTTCAAGACCTCTAGGGGAAACTGCGTACAAAATTATCCAAAAAATCGAGAGGAAAATATTCACAAATTTACCAGGATATTTGTGTTTTATCAAAAGGTATTTGGCAACGCCTGAAGGTTCATACGGCGTTTTTCCTTAGCACGGCAGTATTGATGGCCAAAGTGCGAAACCACGTATCTCCATTGCGGTGTTTCAAAATTTCTGCTCATAACTCATTTTTTCGAGGAGAAACACGCCAATTTCATTGCTTGAAATTCAGACAGAATATTTTGTTAATGGAATAGAAAATTAAGGAAGTTTTATATGTATGATGACTAGAAATCGAAAAGAAAAATAGGTATGACGGGAAGCTGGCAACATCGCAAACGGAGATACTTGGTTCCGCACTTTGGCCATCGATATGTGATAGGTTAGTTAGTTTGATCACAGAATTTTCTCAATAGGTTAAATTCTAATTGGATAAGCTCGAGTGTTAATTTTTCTGCCTAATAATCTATGTTTCTGTTATTCCTGACGCGCGTTCTAAAAAAAAATACGTTTTTGTCGCAATGCTTGTCCGTGTGTCCGTACATGGTGATAGTGCATCCAATGGTTGTTTCCATTTCAGATTAATCAATTGGTGATGCACACATTCGCATCGGTTTTGATGGACATTGATGGTAAAACCAAGATGGGGAATCCATGCATGGCTTGCACTTTAGCGGTAGATGCGACACCAATATTTATTCTTTTCTGAAGGACACTAGTAATTTGTGGCAGAAATAGATATTCATATTTTTAACTTATTTCAGTTCCAACCATCGTGGAACAATTTGGCTCTATTTTGTAGTCTTGGCTCATTTTGAAAACAACATACGTGCCATAAGTTCCCCGATACAGATAGATACGTACATCGGCCAAAAAAACAGCTTTATAATACATTTCTGAATCTATAACGAGCATAAAATATTTCTTTCAAATATGTCGCTTCTCTGACGTGAAGGCGTATCTCTATTTTCACTTGAGCCCCAAAAAGTACAGAGTTATACGGAGCTCAGGGCTTACGTGGAAATTGAGATATGACATTACGTAGAAGGGGTTTCAGGACATTTTGTCAACGATTTTTTGTCCGCACACCTTTTTTGTCCAGTAGTTTACGCCCAAACGTAAAATGAGCAACAGTGACTTGGTCCAAGCGCTATATTTTAGTCGGTATGTAAAATTATATTGGCAATATGGAAATGAGACATTGAGAGAGAGGTGCGGTGGCGTTTGCGGACGTGGCGTTTGCGGATTCTAAGAATCGGGTGGCGTTTGCGGATTCTCATATTTTGACGGTGGCGATTGCGGACAGGCGGAACAGGGCCGGTGGACTTTGCGGACCAGAGAATTTCGGCGGTGGCGATTGCGGACGGAGGGGTAGGCACCTACATATGCTGCCCCCCACCCCTGCGCTGTATATTAAAGGGAAAAATTACCGGAGAGGCTCTGGATTCCTTTTCGTGGATGTAGAATGAAAAAAATATTAGTATTAAACATTAGTATTATATTAGTATAAAAACATATCGACGGTGAAACTACCATACCACGTATCTCGGTTTGCGACGTCGCAGACTTCCTGTCATACTTTATTTTTTAAATGAAAAACTACTTAACGTCTAGTCTTGAAAATTTCTGTGATTTTTCCTCTTTGTGCGGAGAAAATTCTGTGAAAATTTCAAAGAATGATATTGATTTGGTCGACTTCAAAAAAATAAAATGCGAGCGTAGATTTTTAAACACCGCAAACGAGATACGTGGTTTGGTAGTTTCACCGTCGATATGAGCAGTGAACATACAGTAAATTTTAAAAAAAAAGGCATATCAGAAATCGCAAGAAACTGAAAACTCGTCAATTTCAGTCCATTTTTAGGATGAAAAACATGTTGTAAATTCTAATCCAAAATTACTGAAAGTTAAAAAATTACATACGAAAAATGGAAACACATTTTAATTTTTTAACTTTCAGTAATTTTGGACTAGAATTTACAACATGTTTTTCATCCTAAAAATGGACTGAAACTGACGATTTTTCAGTTTCTTGCAATTTCTGATATGCCTTTTTTTAAAAAAATTTACTGTATGTTCACTGCTCATATGTTTTTATACTAATATAATACTAATGTTTAATACTAATATTTTTTTCATTCTACATCCACGAAAAGGAATCCAGAACCTCTCCGGTAATTTTTCCCTTTAATATACAGCGCAGGGGTGGGGGCAGCATATGTAGGTGCCTACCCCTCCGTCCGCAATCGCCACCGCCGAAATTCTCTGGTCCGCAAAGTCCACCGGCCCTGTTCCGCCTGTCCGCAATCGCCACCGTCAAAATATGAGAATCCGCAAACGCCACCCGATTCTCAGAATCCGCAAACGCCACGTCCGCAAACGCCACCGCACCGAGAGAGAAGGAGGTGTTGTCATAGTCGCTCATTTTCGAAATGAAATGTTATTACTTTTGTCATGGGAACGGAGTTCCCCATGATATTAGAATCGTTCCGTTGCTTTCGCTATGGGATTCCCTATACCTCTGTGACCTTGAGCGTTTCGCCCAGTCTCCGATTTTTGGTTGATTTTCCGATGTATCAAAAACCGTTGTATTTTTTAGCCAATCATGTCTCTACGTCAAGTTGTGTTGATTGCTAAAATTCGCTTTCAGCGAGTTTTTTTCCACCTCGAGATGCCGTGTCTGACTAGTAAATCTGCGCAGAACCACGAAGTTCCGTTTTTAGGCAAATTCTTTTTTTTGGGAGGTTCTGATTGGTTATTTTTCGCCATCAGTTTTCTGTTCGTTGGTGCAAAAGATCGCCTACCTCGGTGTTCTTGAGAAGCCGCCATTATCCCACCTCAAATTTGAAAAATAGAAGTAAAGAAATAATAACCATCGTACAAGGTGGAAAATTGTTCTGGAGGACTCGTTACGGATAAAGAAGTCAAAATCAGAGCTCGATTGATTGATTTAATTCATGGATACGCAAATATTGCCTTAGCTCAACTGCCGCGATCGGAATGCGTGCTGGGATGGACCTCGAGACGCATTAAAACAGTGCGAACCATGGCTCCTACAGCAATACAGCAATGCGCTTCATATCATCCCAAAAGCAGTCAAGGTCTCTTGTGATAAGTCCCGCCCATTGCCCGAGTCTTTTGTATGCTATTTTTACTCTCGCCCACGTGGATCCATTATAGCCTAGTTGACTAAACCGCCTCGTATTTTTGATTCGGTGCGGGCACCCGGCGATCGGGAGTTCGATACCCGACGATGGGAACTACTTTTTAATGGTTGTATTGAATGTTTTAGACTAATCATCAAAAAATAATTAATAGTAGATGATAAATGTACGAACATTTTCTCGTGAGTTAATATGTTAAACAAAAATACTGGAATATACCTTCTTCATATAATCAGCCACATGTTCCCCCAAATTAATGACGTTATTTTCTTTTTTCAATAAAGTTAATTTGCATTCAACGTTCGTAAGTTAAGCAAAAAGTACCTATTGATACAAATAGAAAGACATGAAAATAGTATGTCTAACATTTCAGTTGTTTTTTTTTTTTTTTTTATTTATTTTTTGTTTTTTTGTTTTTTCAATAAAACAAATTGACTGGGACTAGAATCATCGTATCTCTGAAGACAAAAGCTAAGTTTTTTGATACAGAAATACTAATATATTCATCCTTTATATAATCAGGGAGATGTTGACCCAAATATTGATGTATATTTTCTCTGTTCGCCCAA